CACTGATATCTAAAGAATCACTCATTGGATTTTGATGAAACTTGTCACATAGATGCTCCAGACTAATGCACAGATTTGATTAGTTTTGGGTAAAAATCTGTGCAATATTAATTACCTAATTTGCATAATGATTAATCAATTTTCGGCTTTTCCACTGATATCTCAAGTACTAATCATCACATTTCAATAAAACTTGGTACATAGATGTCATAGGACACTGCACAAACCTGATAGTTTTTAGGGTAATATCAGTACATATTAATTACCTAATTTGCATATTTAATTAATTTTCAGCTTTTGATATTTCAAGTAGTAATCATCACATTTCAATGAAACTTGGTACATAGATGTCGTAGGACACTGCACAGACCTGATAGTTTTTAGGGTAATTAGTACATATTAATTACCTAATTTGCATAATTAAACAATTTTCAGCTTTTGATATTTCAAGAAGTAATCATCACATTTCAATGACACTTGTACATAGTTACTTAAGGACTGTGTAGACCCCTGATTAGTTTTGGGGTAAATATTTGTGCACATTAATTACCTTATTAGCATAATTAGTTAATTTTCAGCTTTTTGCCTGATATCTCAAGTACTACTCATCATATTTCAATGAGACTTGCTGCATAGATCTTCTAGGACTATGCAGATCCCAGATTAGTTTTAATTGGATATTAATTACCTAATTTGCATAATATTCCACTGATATATAAAGAACCACGAATTGAATTTTAATGACACTTTTAAAGAGAACTATGCAAATATTTATGCTTATTAATCACCTAATTAACACTGATATCTCAATTTCTGATCATCACATTTGATTCAAATTTGGTACATAAATGCTCTAGGACAATTGACAGGCCTGATTAATTTTTAAATTTTTTCATATTAATTCTCTAATTAGCATAATAATTCATAATTTTTTTGTTCTGTTCTGTTCATAATAGTTACCTGATTTACATAATTAGTTTTCAGCTTTTCCATCAATATCTCATGTACAAGTAATTTGAATTAATTTTTAATGTGTCTTCAATACTCTCAGCACACAAGAGTTCTTTCTAAGCTTTCTTTGATTACTACTAGGTTTGTCTCGCAGCTATTGGTTTAGTTGGTGATTTAAGTCGAGCTCTGGGGACCAGTCTCCTCCCGTACTGTGATGATATAATGACGCTGTTACTTGAGAATCTTGGAGTAAGTAACTGAGGGTCACTGTTGCTCATTCTTTAGAGAACCTACATGAACGTGCTACATACAAACTGACTAGGACACTGAAAAACAACCAAGATTTTGTCATTGAGATGGCTCTGAATGTTGTAGATTACCTATTTGTTTAAAAATATAATTGTCAATCATAGGTGGACACTCTAGTCATATTTACATATAGAAATAAAGTAAATGCACCTGGACTGTAGACTAAAGTCTGCTGTATGATATTTTGAAACAAAGTAGATGATCAGTTCTAATCTTAAACATCCAGTTGATTCTTAATGCCAAAATCTTGGGGGTTTTCACTGTAAGAAGGGATCTTTCATGTCCACATAAAAAATAGAAATAGTTGTGTGACACAATTGTTATTTTAAAAGGCTGTATGGCTTTTTGTCTACATCATTTTGACCATCGTTGCTTGTTGTACATTACATACTGGTATCCTTTTGATCTAATGCAAGATACCTCTATTAGTAGCTAAAAACAAATTTTGATCTGAACCTTGCACAAAATGTTGTCGTTTGCCACCTTAGCATTGCTAACTTATTTTCTCTCTCGTCAGAATGACACTGTAAATAGAACAGTAAAGCCGCAGATTCTGTCTGTGTTTGGAGATATTGCCTTAGCTATTGGGAATGTGTTCAAAAAATACTTGGATATTGTAATGAACACACTGCAGCAAGCATCACAAGCTGAAGTAGACAAGGTGAGTATATCATATTAACCTAATTGTTTTCTAATCAACAGTTGGAAATGTTGCAGGGCTTGTTTTTGACTCCCGTGTGCCAAGCACAAAAGGGAGTCTTTGCAGTTACCCTGTCTGTATGTATGTATGTCACTTTTTTTGTTTCACCGTTATCTCAAGAACCGCTAATCAAATTTTGGTGAAACTTGGCACATGGATACTCTGAACTAATGCGCAGATTTGATTAGTTTTGGGTAATTATCTGTTAATATTATTAATTACCTAATTTACAAAATGATTAATCAATTTTTGGCTTTTCCACTGATATCTCAAGTACTAATCATAACATTTCAATAAAACTTGGTACATAGATGTCATATGACACTGCACAGACCTGATAGTGTTTAGGGTAATATCAGTACATATTAATTACCTAATTTGCATAACTAATTAATTTTCAGCTTTTGATATTTTGAGTAGTAATGATCACATTTCAATGAAACTTGGTACATAGATACTTGAGAACTGCAGAGACCTAATTAGTTTTTGGGTAAATATTTGTGCATATTAACGTCGTTGCATTTTGAAGGGGTGGGCGCTTTGCCGAATGTGGCCCCAAATATAAAAATTGCGCAAAAGTGGGGGGTGGCCGCTTGCCCGGGCATGGGCGCTAGCACGGTCGAGTACGGTACATGTGTATGTATGTGTGTGTGTGTGTGTGTCGGTCTGTTCCACTGATATCTCAAAAACCATACTTCAGTTTTTGATGAAACTTGGTGAATAGATGCCCTGGGCCAATGCACAGATATGATTAGATTTTGGTAAAATTCCATGCATAATTACCTAATTTGCATGATAAGCTAATTTTTAGCTGTTTAACCCTTTGCGCCCCAATGCGGCCATATACGGCCGCTTATTTCTGACCAAAGATAACCCAATCCGGCCGTAAAAGGCCACCCGTTAATGCGCTGTCAAAATCCCAATGCGGTCGTAAACGGCCGGTATTTCATAGATTGAAACAGAAGTT